ATTGTTTAAAACGAAATTTGAATAATTTATTATTATTATTATTATTACTAAGGTTATTTTCAGTAAAAAAATACAAACATTTTCGTTTAACTTCTCTAGATTATTTGTATGCAACAAAGGGTTAAAACATAATAAGCAGAACAGGGTATAAGGATAATTTTGAAAGTTATTTACATTAAAACATATGACATGTTTTTAAATGAAAAAATAATACAAAAGAATTATTCTTGAAAAATGCTTCTGATCATAGATATAAAAGAAATTTGGCACTAGGCTCAGTACTGAAATTGATAAAATACACAGCTGAAGTAATGTTATGTGATTTGGTATCAATCAGGAAATCTTAATGTATTTTGTTTTATTTATAGTAAAAAAAAAAAAGGCTCGTTTAAGATTTGGCTGTCAAAGGCAGTCCTGAATATTGATTATATTTTTTATAATTGAAGATCACTGGCTAAATTAAGTATCATTGAGGTATTAATTTTCTTTTATTTAAAAGATACAGATATTCCATTTCTCTATTAGTGTTAATTCATATTTAAATCATTAATCCAAAAATGCTACAGTTATTCAAAATTAACAAATGCATTATTGAATATTATGCCATATAATGCGCACCTTTAATGCGAAAAATGAGATTGAAATTTACGGGTGTGCATTGTATGTGGTATATACACAGTCCAGTCACATTAATGTGACCACCACGTACTTTCCATGTCAGAGTTAAATAACCAATCACAGAAGGCAGGTGGCAGCACAGTGCAGTTGAGCGTATATAAAGGGTGTGTGAGGGCTTCGGAAAACATTTCAATCATTGGCGTAATGCAGAAACGAAGCGATTTATCCGACTTCCAAAAGGGCATGATCATTGGCTTTCGGGCCAAGGGTGGAAGCATTTCCGAAACGGCTGAGTTTGTGAACTGTTCGCGTGCCGCCGTGGTAAAAAAGTGTCCGTAAAAGTGTACCGTGCATGGCAAAATGGGACTTGTCCAAAATCAATCACAGCGACGTGGCAAATGTGGTGCACCACGGGCCATAGATGACAGAGGCGAACGACGGTTTGCGGAGATGCGTCGTTCGGGCAGATAGACGGGCTAAACCGTTGAGCAACTGACCACCAAAATGAACCAAGGGGCTACCAAAAGTGTCTCCCAAAGTACTATTCAGCGAACATTGCTTGCTGCGTCTGGGCCTCCGAAGCAGACGCCTGGTTCGTGCACCTATGCTGACTGCTGTTCATCGACGGCGAAGGCTAGAATTTGCACGCCAGTACAGCAGCTGGACGTCCACTGAGTGGCGACAGGTTTGCGTTTTCGGATGAATCACGTTTTTAATCAACTTTTATGCTCCATCGGACAGATGGACGTTGGCGTATAAGGCGTGAAACCTCTGAAAGGGAACCACCCTGCAAAACCACCCTGAACCATTGCCGGAACGGCCCCAAGCTGGAGGCGGGAGCATTATGGTCTGGGGAATGTTTTCCTGGCATTCTCTAGGTTCACTGATCATTGTGGAAGGCACAATGGATCAATACAAGTACGCATCTGTCCTTGCGGACCATGTTCACCCCTACATGCGCATTGTTTTTCCTCAGGATGATGGCATCTTCCATCTTCCAGCAGGACAATGCGAGGTGCCATACATACAGCTGCCAGTGTACGTGCGTGGTTCGAAGAGCACCAGGATGAGTTTACCGTCCTCCCCTGGCCAGCAAACTCACCTGACTTAAACCCAATTGAGCATCTGTGGGACCATCTCGATCGAGTTGTTCGCGCCATGGATCCTCAACCGCGTAATCTAGCGCAGCTGGCCATGGCATTAGAGTCGGCATGGCTCAACATCCCAGAGAACACCTTCAGGGACCTATGTGACTCTCTTCCTGCACGTCTCGCAGCAGTCCGCTCTGCGAAAGGTGGTTATTCTGGCTTTTGACAGATGGTCACATTAATGTGACTGGACTGTGTAAAAATGATATGTTTAAAAATAAGGAAAAGATGAGCATATAAAAGTTTGGATTTCTACTGAACTTAAATGCTGTTTCTGGCGATTTTCAAAAACCAAGTTCACAATACTTTCTTCCTCAATATGCCATTTCATTACTTCTTTCTGTAAGGCACATTCATTCTTTGGTATATTAATTATCACAATGTAATTTTTCTCCCACTAACATATGGAGCTTTCACCAATACCAAACATCCTTGGTGCAGCACAATTTCCATTTTCTTTTGCTAACTGGACGACTTTGCATTTGAAACCAGCACTATGTCTTTCATTTGGCAGGAACCATATTTACTACTAAAATTAACACAGATCAACTGTATATCAACTAAAGCAAACATGATTTGCCTTTGATGTTCACTTCAAAATCATGGCTTCAATTGACCACGGAAAGAGAAAACATTTGATTCCTAATTCTGCGAATTCATTCAGGTTGTAAGTACATTCATATCCCAAATTATTTCCCATCTTTTCCCAGAACCATCTAATAGCATCCTTGTGCATACTGCATTGAATACAACCCACCCTCTTTACAGAATTATTTACTCCCACAAGCATTCCCCCTTCCATGCATATTATTCCCCTTATTGCTAGTCAATTCAGTACAGTACAAAGTCCGTAATCCGGACTCGTCGGGACTTTGGCGATTCCGGATTAGGGGATTTCCTGGATTATAGATCATCAATTTAAATCTTGTAAGATGGCATGCAGAAATTATACAATTAAATATATGAAACCGTAATTTATGAAATAAAGATCAATTATGGTCTAAAGGGTATCAAAATTTAAAAAAAAGCTTAATATTTATTTGTTTATTTTATTAAATATTTCTCTCTATGCAAGTTGTTTAAGTTGCTTCATTTTTTGTGCTGATATTTTCTCTTTAATTCTATAAACAGACATAATTTGTTGTTCAGTTACAAAGTTCCAGTCCTGTAATTGCTGTGTCGAGAATAGCGACTAACTTGTCAATCGAAATTTTTGCGTTTTCACTAACCTCTCTGTCACTTTCTTCAGTATTGGAAGTGCGCATGGGTAAACGCTTTAGTGGCTTTACACACATGCGTAAGTTTGTGGCTTTGAGGTCCGGATTATAGATCATTCCGGATAATGGACGTCCAGATTATGGACTTTGTTCTGTATAACATTGTTAGAAAACCTGCGAAAAATCTTTGGCAGTTGCAAAAGACAGTCGCATCGTACCTGTAACTTTCTGGTTTCTTTGTAACAAAGAGTGTGCATTATATGGCAAATATACCTAAAAATTAAAAAATGTTGTCTGAAGTTACAGGTGTGCATTATATGCCAGGATGTGGGGTAATTAAATTTAATCATGCTGTTCTTTTGATACACAATTTTTTTTTCATAATGTTCATAGTATGTTGCATAGTATTTAAAAATCTGGGTACTCTTCTGTTATTAGGATTAAATTCAGAAATGTGTTATATGTACGTATATATGTGTCAGTATACACGCACATGCAGTGATTATATAATCATTTATGGTAAAACTTATTGCATGTATTAATGAAATTATATCTTATTTTTAGCTTTGTTACAGTGGTTATTTTCACAATTTTTTTTAATAGTACCTTCATTTTCAACAGTAACATATATGATGTATTAGTGCTCTAAAATGAAAAGTATTCTAATGCAGTTCCTGCTGGGATGACAGCATGTATCGGATAATAATGTTATTACTGTCCGTACAATGAGAAATATAAATATTCTAACGCAATATATTTTAAAATATATTAAAATATTTAACACGAGAAGGTATTAGACTATAGATAGAACATTTCTACTTAAGTAACAAATTTGCTTCTGTTTCGGAATAAGAGCAGTTTAATTGCATATACATGCAGATATGTTTTTGTAATGAATAACTTCATTATTTCAAATGGTATGAAAATTTGCAGTTGTTTTACTAAATGGGACACAAGCATTGTGATTTGAACTTAATGGCTAACAGCCGTTAAACAATGGTGTACTAGAACTTCAAGATAAACATTAAAAGAATTTAATTATATATAGTGTAAAGCAGATAACAAACACATTGAGACAAATAATACTGAGAGAACCGCAAGCCTTTTTGGGGGGGGCGCAGGCTGAGGCTTCATTCTCCCACTAAAACGCTATTTTGAGCTTCTTTCTGATTGTTTGAGACAGCCTCTTTCCTCCCTATTTCAAGCCATGTGGTCATTTATTACAGACAAACTAAGCAAAATCCCTGCAGAATCTTGTGTAATAATAACAGTTTCGCCTGATTCTGTATTCGTTACAGATATTTCCTTCGTAAATATTTGCATTTCTGTAACTAAACAAGATTTTTTTCTTGTAAACTTTGAACTTTTTTTTTTACAAAGTAGAGTTTGTGTCAAATTCCATTTTCTAATATAATGATGACTGCAGATGTGCAGCAAAAATAGTAAATTTATGGTTGCTGTGCGATTGGCCCGAAGACAGTCTGCATGCATTTATATGATTGAAAAAGCTGTTTAGAACTGCTGTATTATGAGCAGAAGAGATGTAAAAGAATAGGGAATTGATTAAAGAATTGGGTAAACTGTCACAGGAAACCATGAAAATTCATGTATAATTTTTCCTGATATGTGTGATAAGGATGCTATATAAAGTGTTCGTATAATTTATGGTTCTACTTTTCAAATTATGGCATTAACTCATTTGATTTATTTCTCTTGTATTAAACAATGTTTATTGCATATAAATGAAATTAAAAATTTCATAATTATTACCATACTACTAAAATGTTCCCATGTTCTGGTTAGATGTATGTATAGTATTTTGTATTAGGTCATCTTGAATATAAAATGAAATCTCATTTAAAGCACCAGGCCCTTTCCTATACTTCGGATAAAAATGAAACCTTAATTGAAAGGGAAGAAGAGAAAAGTGTTAGCTTGGTTTTGTGATCAATTGGGATAAATGATGCTTTCAAAAATCATGACGAGTTTTCTAAAATGGTTTTGCTTTTTTTATTAGGTTTTGAAGTCTGTTAGAAAATTAGAATTTCCAAATAATTTCCTTGAAAATTATCCTGAAGAGGTGAGTTTTACATGCTTTTTTATTTCTTGATGTAGATCCAGGGTAAGAAGTTTTCGTGTAAGGCAGTATGGCTCGTATTAAGGCTGCTTTTTTAAATTCGAAAGTATTACTCTTAAATTTACTGTATGTGTAGTATTACTCTTAAATGTACTGTATGTGTAGTATTACTCTTAAATGTTCGAAAGTAGTACTCTTAAATGTGAACAGTTTTTTTTTAATGTAAAGTTTCCTATTATTTCCACTTAGGTTTTCTAATTAAGTGTGTCTAATTCAGCAAAAGTATATATTTTCATGATTTCTTAATTAGTTTAGTAAGTTTTAAAGCAAAAATTGGTAGATATGTCTTTGAATGTTTTGTTTCCCTCAAAGAAGAAAAAGCTTTTAAGTTTCAATCTATTAACCAGCTGCTGTCATCTGACTACATGTTGCAGTGTAAACAGGTTATAGTCACATGATCAGAAAATGCAGTTTTTTCCCCATCTTCTGATCATGTGACTATAACCTGTTTTAGAACCCAGAATTTCAAGTGTTTATCAGTAACTGCTACAGCGTGGATAGGAGTGCTGGTTATATCATTTGCTTAACCGATAAAAATAAATCAAAACATATGTGTTGACATGTGCTATAATTTGCATCTGTGTTAACGATGTTTCTTCTACTGTGAGTGACTTCTGTGGAAGTTAGAGCATATATTAGGTAATAAAGTTATGATTTATCATTTATAAAAATTATAAATTCTCTGTTTTTCATGTTGTTAAAGATTTTTAGAATTGTTCAGTAAATATTCTATTATATCTAATTAAGTAAAGAGTCTTCTTACTAAAGGAGTTCGTAATATCCTCTGGCCTTCTTCTTGAGAGTGTTTTGTTTTATAAAGGGTGCCCCAAAAAGCCATTTACAAACTTTATATGCTGGTCTGATGGACCATGACGATTAAGTTTTACATTGGAAGTTGAGTGTGATAGTCAAACCATGTGGTGCTGCAACAATGCAATCAACACACAAAGAAAAGAAGTTGATAGTGGCATTAACATAACTGTATTTTTTAAAAAATTGACGATACGGATGAAGAAATAAATGAGTTTTTACAGAAAATTTTCAAAGTTTCAAAGATCCACCACAATACATGCTTTGCAACATCAATGCATGAATTCACAATTTGTTCAAATTGGCCTATGTCAAATCCTCTGCAGCAGGTGTGCATATAGTACATTACTGGCAAATGTGGCTGCTTATTTGAAAAGCTCAAGGCTCTCTTAATCTGCAATGCAATTGCCCAAACAGTTGATAACTTAGTAAGAAGTCTTTTTTGGAAGAGCTCTAGGTATGTGTGTCTGTTAATTTCTTTCCATGCCCCGGTACCGTAAACGTAATACATATCTAGGGCCGAGAGAAGGGTGAGGCAGGTGAGGCACTTGCCTCAGGTGAACAAATAGAAGGGGTGCCAAATTAGCTATTCGATCGAGCTATTCAATATTTGTATTAACTATCTTATGACAAAAAGCAATAATCAAAATCATTAAAAACTCGAATTTTTCATGGATGGCTTTGAAAAAACCCAATGATGCTGAATACAAAAGAAGGAAAAAATTAAGAAATTACGTTCGTCAAAGTTGCACTTTACAGTTGCAAGACTGGCTGGTGGAAATTCAAATGAAATAGGTAATTCATCAAAAAAGTAATAGCAGATAGCTCAGAAGAAAATGTGGTTGGAGTTGGAGAATCTAGCAACTTTGATTCAAATAAAAGCAAGCAAGTAATTGAAATTTCTGGAAATGAAGAGAATAAAGTAACCATTAAACTGATTAACTTCAATGTTCATGATCATGACCAAAAATTTCAGATAAAATAAAAATTTTTTTCTTAGAACATGGACCAGATCAAGGACAAGATGCTGATTTAAAGGAATCTACTTCAGAAGAAGGCAGAATATTTTCCAGAGAATGGTTTTTTAAGATGTGTTCTCATGGGAAGGTATACATCGCAATTGCCTTATTTATTCAAAAAGATCTGTCATCATTCTGTTTTCCATGCATTCTTTTTACTAAAAGTAAGACAGATTCTACTATTTCCAATCCAAAAAGTGGTTTCAAAGATTGGAAAAACTTAAACCGAATTTCTGATCACGAAAGTTCTACATTTCATCAGGATGCTTATCTTCAATGGAAATACTTTGAAAAAAATTAAAGGAGGTGGTTTCATAGATGATTCTCTGCATAAAGCAGTAGAATCACAAAAAGAAAAGTGGCGACATAGCTTACGCGTTATATTAGACATAATTTTGTTTTGTGTAAAACACAATTTACCTCTTAAAAATGGAATTATTGGCAGTTCAAGTGCAGGAATGTTCTTAAATTTAATTAAATTAATAAGTCATTATGATAGAAACATTGCCTATCTCATAGTTAATCACAGAAAGGAATCTGTTTTTTATCTGTCTAATAAAGTACAAGCTGAATATATATATTACACTTAGGTAGTCTTGTTCAATTTAAAGTTCGTTCTAGGATCAAAAAAGCGAATATTTTTCTTTGATATTTGATTGTACACCAGATTTTTCGCATCATGAGCAACTGTGTCAGATTATTAGATATGTGTACATAAAAGACAAATCCATATTTTACCAAAGAAAGCTTTACAAATTTTATAGAAACAAAAGAGAAAACTGGTATTGGTTTAGCAAATGAAATTATTTATAAGTTAGAAAAGGATGGCCTCAACATTCAAAATGTTCGAGGACAAGGTTATGATAATGGGGTCAATGTGGCTGGATTGCACAAAGACGTGCAAACCATTATTTGCCAAAGAAACGATCAAGCTATAAATATTCCTTGTTCGGCTCATAGTTTAAATTTAGTGTGCAAAAGTGCCATTGCAACAGATTCAAGTATGTTAATTAATTTTTGGCACAGAACAGAGGATTTATATTTATTATTATTATTATTATTGTATCTTCAACAAGTAGATGGGATGCACTTATGTCCATTTTAAAACAACAGTAATAGTTCATATGGATACACGATGGTCATCAAGAGCAAATGCTGTTAAAGAATTAGATCTACAAATAACAGAAGTATATAGATTATTGAAAGATATGGCATTAAATCACAAATCATTGCAATGGGCTGAAAATAACAGCATTTTGAAACAAATCGATTTTAAATTGTTATGTTTATGTTATTTAATACTGCAAGAAATCAAAAAAGTAAATAAAACCTTGCAGTCAAAAAACTATGACTGTCTATAGAGCCACATGCTTAATAGAAGGACTATATCTTTTATTACAGGAAATAAAAGAAAATATCTCTCAATGCATTTTTAAAAAATGTAAAACTTCAGCTTTAGAGATGAATATGCCGTCAGAATTTGAAGAGAAACGAAAAATTAATAAATCAAATTGTGAGGAATCAATTGATATAAATTGTAGTTTTGAGAAAATATATTTTATAGAAATTAAAGATGTGTTCGACATTTTAATTTCACAATTGAAATGGCGGTACGAAAAGTTAAATGAAATCTTTTCTGATTTTCAGTTTCTGACTGGTGAACAATTAATATCATAAAGGCAGCAGCTTATAACTTACCACTTAAATAAATATCTGAATGATATGAACACTGAAGAAATTCAGTCAGAAATATCTAGTTTTAAAAACCATGCTATTTCAATAATTCGGGACACAAAAGCAGCTATGTGCTTAGAACTTGTAAAAATAATTCACGATTATAGTTTAGTTCAGTCCTGTCTGAATTTGGAAGCAGCGTTAAGAATTTTTTTAATGTTGCCAGTTACTCTAGCTAGTGGCGAAAGAAGCTTTAGCAAACTTAAAATAATAAAAAAACTATACAAAATCTTCACTAGGCCAAGAAAAACTTTCAAACATGACCATTCTCTCTATAGAACACAAGTTAAGTAATCAAATAGATTTTGAAAAAATTATTGATGATTTTGCTTCTTTAAAAGCAAGAAAAATTTAATTATAAATATGGTTGAAAGGTTTATGCCATAAAATTTTGAGCAGGTGTTTTATTTATAATACAATATAGGTGTTATATTTGCCATTTTTCAAAAAGCATATTTTTAATGTTTTCCATTTCAAAATTGTTAATCATTATATATGTTTCACTTTGTGGAATATACGAAGTTATAATTAAATATTATTGTAAGAGTTATTGTATTTTCTCTTGAAATAGTTACTTTTAATTAGCAGAATATATATATGTGCGTATTTGTATAATGCAATGTTTTCAAACATCATTTATTATTAATTCTCCCACACACACACAAATAGGTAAATAAATAACCTTGCATTGTATACAAGGGCGCACATTTACTGCTTTGCCTGAGGTTATTTTTTCTCTGTGCATATCAGTCAGTTTCTTTACCAATGCATACTTCTCCTGCATTGTCCTTGCCTTAAATGATCCCAGTTTTCGCTTTCTAGTATGCTTGCGAACATCGCCCTGTAGTGGTGGCTGGTTACAGTTTGAGATAACTTCCTATGCAAAACTTATTTGCCATGATCAGCAGACTAGCCCATAAGGTTTGTAGATGACCTTTTGAGACACCCTGTATAAGAGCTTACTGCTCAAATATGGAAAAGTTTAGAAGTGTGACTGTTTTAAAAGGTGTTTCCTATCCGAATTTTAATTCCATTTATCTTATGATTTATTATGGCAGTACTTTGGAAAGTATATTTCGGTATCATTAGGCACCGGGTTCCAAAAATTAAGCATGTGATAGCAAAATCAACACAAATGAAAAATTAAAACTAAATTGCACATTAAGGTAGCAAATATGTTTATGCCTGAAGCAATCATTATGTACAAAGATAAAAATAACAATTTTCTTGAATTAAATGATGACATTACATGTAGATCATTAATAAATTAATGTTCAGAGCTAAAGACAGGCAAACAAAACTTTAATTACGTAACACACAAGCATTAATTATATGTATTTGGCAGCATCGGAACTTCAGACAAAATTACAGAAACTGCCC